TGGAATAATTTGACATCTAATGTCATTGTTTATATATATTTTTTTTAATCATAAACGTATATTTGATGTCTTTCATTTTAGGAAAATTACTTGGGTCCTTAATTAATTAAACATATCAACTACAAATTAATTAAACAACATTGGACTTGATATCTAATCAATACATATGACATAAACATTTCTCTTATAATCAAAGCAAGACATTTCTTCACATATAAAATAATAAGCTGTTTAAAGATGAAAAGTTGAAGTGGACTTTGTGGAGTTGGACACTTTTTGCTCTCTGCCCCTTTATATTGTTTGGATATTTGATTGATTAATATTTTCAAGTAGTTCATCATTTCTTGCTTCTAATTATATTTTTAATATTTATAATTTGAATTATTTAATGGGCAAAAAAAAATCAAGTGAAAAAAATTCAAATTAAATAGGTTAGTTCTTGGGCCTGATTATGGCACGAGCACGGGCACGGCACGAGTCCGGCCTGGCTAGTTTCAATATGGACATGGGCTTTGGGCCGGGCCGGGATCAATGATTTTACTAAATAGGCTAGCACGGCACGACCTGATAAATTAAATAGGCTAGCTCCGCATATGTGTTCCAAAGGTTGCTATGGATCAAGTACTGGAAGTTGAACTTGCGGAGGCAACTCTTGAAAGCAACGAAGGCAGCGCAATCGCCAATCTCTGGGCAACAAGAGTACTCATGGCTGAAGCGGGCTGCATACTCCCGAAGGGGTTCATCTTCACCCTGCCGAAGCAGGTACAAGTCATCTGCGGAGTACATGCGGTCAGTCTAGATCATGAAATGGTCCAGGAAGGTCTGCTTCAGACTGTCAAATGAGTTTATGGTGCGGAGGTTCAACCTATAGAACCAATTCAGGGCCGCGCCGCTGAGGGTGCAAGGGAATAGGTGACACATGCCTTCGTCACTAAGGCTCTTGCACCCGATGGCAGACTAGAAGGAATGGATGTGGGTAAGAGGATCCTCTGTGCCAGTGTAAAAGGCGATTCGGAGTGGCTGGATGTCCTTCTCCTAGTGGTAATTAAGGATACGTTCGGTAAAAGGCCTGGGTCGTGGCTTCGCCCAGAGGGGCTAGTGGCTGCGGTGCTACTCGCTCTACAAACGACGAACATTCTCAAAGAGAAGCCTCATGGCTGAGTCGGCATAAGGGAGAGTGTCGGGTGCCAAAGGCCTGGGGTGTGGGTGGGCAGGGGCTGGGTAAGGTTCCCACTCTTCATACGCCTAGGTATGATAAGACTCCTAGTCATCTGGATGGTAAGGCTCCTAGTTATCCGATTCTCCTGCACCTTATCCAGCGGGTAGGTGGGTAGGCTTCGGTGGAGGGCCTAAGTGTGCCACCCCTTGGTCTATGAGATTAACAAGGATAGGGATAGGGATAGGGTCTGGCTGACAGTCCTGGTAATCTCTGTAGACCTTCATCGGTTCATGGGGCAGGTCCTTCGGTGATGAGATATGAAGTTTCTGCGACTTAGTTGTCTCCGGATGGAGGGGGCCTTTACCCCTACCGAGCCTAGACTGGACTGGGGCACTATGGCGAGAGTGCACTGACTGGTTTGGCTAGGTATGTTCAACATCCTGGGTAATGTCATGTTGGGAGCCCTGGGCCTGAGTATTCTCCCAGTTATGCTTTAAGGTGCGGTAGTCATGCTCCAGCTCGATATTTTTGGTGTGAAGATGTTCGTATTTCTCGAACTATCTTGGCAACGCTGGCGCGAAGAGGCTCGACCTCTGCCTAGAGATTGACATCTGCCGAAGGTTTCCTTCGGGAGGTATCCCCGCCGGGGGTATGGTGCTGAGTATCGTGGCTATCCACGGTAGGCATAGCAGAATGTGGGGTAAAGAAGAAGCGACGAGGCCAGATGGAAGAAGGAGTCAGTTAGGCTAGTAGAGAAGAATGGGATTCAGAAGTCGGTTCCCACTGACGGCGCCAAACTGTTAATGCTCTTTTCGGGAGGTCAATTTAGAAAGAAGTGGGTAGTCTTCAGCAGGGGAGAAGGTGAGGACCTTCGGTAAGGGAAGAGCCTGTAGAAGACAAAATATGAGAAGCAGTCGTCAAGCTTCAGACACCGGTGTGATGCCGGTCGAAGGCTCTCCAATACTTAAGTCGGCTATGAATGGTAAATTTGTTAGAGTAACAGTAAAGGTCATAAAATAATTACCCTTTTTACTTGAGTACTGTTCCCTATTTATAGAGAAGAGAAAATGGGAGCATTGCACAAAGTTTCGATGTGGGACTTTGTGCGAGTTACTGTGGTGGTGACACGTGTCTTGGAGATTAGGTTCGGCAGTTGGGAACTTCGGCAATCAGGAGCTTCGGCAGGTATCTGGCACCTCGGAAGAGTGTCTTCCTTCGGCAAGAGAGAAGATGTGTCTGCCTTGGTTCTAGTCGTTTTGAGGCTAGATATGCTCGGTTGATTATAGTGTAAACACATTGCACGATCAAATTCACAGATCTAACAAGAAGTAGCCATCTACTCCATGACACTCAAGAATGGTACCCTTTTTTTTTTTTAATTGGCTCAAGCATAGTAAGTTCTTGAACAATCTCTAACTTTAATTTTGTTAACCACACATGCTATTGCTATTGTTATGAATTTGTAATCAATTAGACATTAACTATGTATGTACATATAAAATTTGTAATGAATTATTGTTACACCTTTTTCTTTCAAATCATAGGAGAAGGAAGGCAAGAATCAAATTCTTGATGATTCTTGATGGGAGTGTGAAAGTAAGTGTTCTACCATTGAAGTCAAAGAAATTCACATTAACGCCATATAAAGCAATACTTAAGATTCTTTAAAAAAGAATTTCTTATTAGTATGTACTTAGTTCTTAACATGACATTTCTTTTCCAAAAACATTACAAATAAATAAAAAGAAGAAGAAACAACAATTCAGAGGGAGAGAGAGAGAGAGAGAGAGAGAGAGTTTTGAGGGTTGCAGAAGATTATGCTCTGAAAATATAGTATAGAACTGAATACTACTGATAAGAAATCTGAGTAAGAAAGTAAGAAGAAACCATATTTACTCTTTTTGATGATGATCAGCTTTAAAGGTTAACATCAAAAACCAAAACTGCATGGCAGACATTTTCGAACCCTTTTCTTTCCCTCAATATGAAAAAGGCGTTACGTTGGGTCTCTCTCTCTCTCTCTCTTCTCTTCTCTCTCTGTCGTCTGTCTGCAACTTCACTGAATCACTGTCAATGATCTGCAGCTGGCAGATGGCAGCTAGCTTGACGATTTGTGATCCGTAACTTAGAATCACGGCAACTAAATCAGGAAAAGTAAAAAGGAGGACGGTGAAGAGAGGACCCTGGCATGGCAGAGCCACTGGATCATTCAATTCTTTACCAACTAAAAGCCACAGAAACGTCTTGCTTTTGATGCACAATGCTTCACGAAATCTCTGTTTATTTCAATTTTGAAGATCATCTGTCAGAGATTAGAATATATTTTCTTGGAGAATATATTTTTTTTTCGGTTACAGTTTGCTTGGTACATTTGTTAACTTTTATTTGTCAAACATAAAATTTCATTAAATTTGACTTGTAAACAATGGTCTCAGATTCAAATATATATATATATATATATAATCCTAATAAAAAACTATAGGCTACTTACCCTTATAGTTTAGACTATCGTTTGTATTTTTTTTTTTTTTAAATTTCATTAGATGAGGTGAAGGAACAAAAGAAAATTGCAGTAGAGAGCCCTAATACTAAGCTAGGGTTGAATAAAACTCGACGATGTTACCCAGTTCGACCCTCTACAGTTAATGGGCCTTTTCATGTAAAAATTGCAATGACCACAGGCCCAAACAAGGATAGCAACTCAACCAAACTACCCTATAAGCCCTAACAGAATTCTGACAGAGAAAAGAGGCACAACCAAAAACCAATAAAACAATAAAGAGACCCTGCCGCCAGCGGAAGTTTCCGCCACAACAACATGGAGGTATGGACCAACATGGAAAAAAGCCATGATTGCACTGCGGTAACAGCAGCATAGTCCGAGAAATGCCAAAAGACAAAAACACCAAAGCCAAAAGTTAAAAGGTAATCTAGTTCGTAAACAACTTGTAACTCAAGTGATTAAGTGTTACATGTTTGAACCGGTTCGATTTAATTAAACTACTAATTTTATAATCTAATTGTTAATAGTTTGTAGATTCGATTTAATGAGATAAAGAGAGAAAGACGAAAAGATAGACCGGTTCGACTCATTTAAACTGCTAATCTTATAATCTTGTTTCTCAATTTAATGATTCAAAATGTGTAGTGCAGCCCTGCTTACATTTCCATGTGTCTTTTGTTTGTATTACCAACTCTTTTAATCTTATAAGTGTGTACTTGCCTGAAAGATAAAAAACAAGATTGGTCTAGTTTTTGTTTCCTATTTAGTTGACTAGTCAACAAGAATGCATCATAAAGACAATTAAATGTAAAGGGATGGATACCATAGAGAAGATGTGCTACAAACCCACCAAAAAAAAAAAAATTACACTGCTTACCTCCTTTTTTGAAAGGAGGTATTCGTACTTCTTGTAAATCACAATTTAACATATATGTAAAAATAATTTATTAAAGACACTAAATGAAAAATCTCTCTAAACATGTCAACCTGTAATTAGCAGAAAAGTAGAAATTCTTACTTCCAGGAAATGAGGCAAGCATTTTCTTTAAAAAAATTTCATTCAATCTACAAGAAACCCTATTATTACAATGGCAACTGCAGTCAAACCTCATCTGACTGCTTGAAGGAGGAGAGAACCAGACTCATTGAACGTTCAATGTAACTAGTAATTAATAACTGTATTGCCTCCTCTTTGATTCCTTGATTTTTGACAACAGTAAATTTGTTTTAAATTTACAACAGTAAATTTGCTGCAGATAAGGCAGACTTTAGACTTATACAACAGTAACTTGTTTTCCTTTTTCGTATTGTTCCTTTCACTCTTCTGTTCCCCTTCTGCATCTTTCTCTCTCTCTCTCACAGACCACACCACACCACCCGCATTTATTCACCTCCTGTTCCTCCCTTCCTTTTATCCAACCCCTACACAGATTTAACCCTAAACCTCTTCTCTCTCTCTCTCTCTCTCTCTCTCAGTGTTAATTTGTTGCTTCTTGGGTCTCTACTGTTTTTTTTTTAAATTTATAATTTTCATTTTCAAGGCTTCTGTTTGAATTTGGTGGATGACTTCATGGTGACAGGATGTGCATTTTCACCGCCATGAATAATCCACTTTATCTTCTCTTCAAAGCCACCAGAGCCATTATGCTTCTGCATTTTCTTCTTCTCTCTCCAGCCTCCTGTTTTAGCACTCATTCTCTCCGGGTAAGAACAAATTATTTAACCCTTCCGGTTCAACTAATCTTCAATTTACTACAAAATATATTTCCTAATTTGTTTGATTAAATTGCAAATTATGATGTTCTTGTTGTGCTCATTCTGCAGGGCCTTTTATTTGAGGAGAAAACCAGGCTGGGATCCACGCCGCCCAGCTGCCACAGCAAGTGCAACCAGTGCCATCCATGCATGGCGGTCCAGGTGCCTACAATACCCAGCCACGATCGGGTCGAAACGGGCATGACCCGATCCTTCCCAATGATGTTCTTCGACCCATCTCATCCGGGTACCAACAACAAGTACTCCAATTACAAGCCTCTGGGTTGGAAATGCCACTGTGGTGACCACTTCTTCAACCCTTGAGCTAGTTCAAGTTCCATGGGGAAATTTCATGTCAAAATGGAGCTGGGTTTCGTTTAGATTTGTAAACTACAATTGATTTGTGATTTTTCAGTTGTGATTTGGGATTTTGTAATTTTGTTTAAGGGGAGAGGGCATTAATTCTTTATAAACAAATAAGAGAAAAACTTGTATATCACGGATATAACACTGTTTTGTTATTCTCAACAAATTTTGTTTCGACCTTCACGATAACTTTTTCACAAGGCAAAACGTGAATAGCAAAACAATGTTATCCCGTGTTTACGTTCTTATCCACAAACGGGCATGTGTCTGGTGTTGTTGTCACCATTAAATCTCTGCACTTAGATATATTATATTATACAATGTACATAAATTTGTAACAAACTTCTGAATCGTGATCTTGCTTTTGACGTGCTTTCATTTCTGTGATGAGCTTTTCTTGTCTTCTTTATTTTTTTTCTTTTCTAAATTCAATTATTCTGTATTGTTCCTTCTATTTGACTCTGGAAAAATAATTAATTTGGCATTATTACAAGTGTCACCCAGATATTTATATATATATATATATAAATAATAGTAAAAAAATTAAATTAATTTATAACTAAAAGGAATTCAAAATGAAAAATTTCATCAAAATAATTACAAAGTAAAAGAAAAATAAATGCCACCGAGCTGAAATTATGAACCACAAAATAATTACAAGACCTGTGAACAGCTTTCATGAAAATTTATTTAAAATATTATTTTTGGATTTTCCTTATCTCTTGGGGTACATGGCCCATCACCATATATACGATACATCACTCTCTGCTCCACTGGTCCACTCTCGTATCTTTTGGTTACTGTAACAATCCCCATCAAACTGACCAAAATGCGCCTCAGCATTCAAGATCTGATGTGTGACAGTTGAAGGTTATTTTGGTGATTATAATATTTTTTATTTTTTTTATGTAATTTTTTTCTGTGCCCTAGCAACCTCCTCCTGCATCTGCACAACGCAACCGTACCCTAGCTAGAGCTAGCCATGCAGAAGTTAAATGCCAACCTTGTCGTTTGTTCCCTAAATTCTAGAATTGGAGACAACAGGCAAAAGGCCTTGTCCAAGTCAGGTTTTCAAGCAACGCCAAACAGATTATAGGTCAATTACAAGGGTCAACTGACGGGCCTATATAAAGAGTATCCGATGCTGTGGGAAATTAATGTTTTCTTTTCTTTTTTGGCTCCCCAAGTGTGACGAGCTAGATTCATAAATACCCTTTCTGCCAAATTTAGCTAGAATAACAAGCTCAATAACACTCTTGAGCTGCAACATTGTATAGGATTTGGTAACACGACATGAGCACACACGAAAAATTGAGTGTTCAAGTCGAACTTTGACGGGCTTTGTTGATAACAAGGAAACCCGTTAAGAAATAGGAAAATTTTGTTTTATTTTATTCATTAAGCTCTTAGTTCTATAATTTGTGTTGAAATTTGAGTAGGAAAAGTTAGTCTCATATTGAAAACTCACAACTTTCCTTCACATCTTTATAATAGTTGAGACCCTAATTAGAATTGGACCTATTGAGTGGGCTTTGTACCAGATACAACTTGTTCTTTAAGGCCATCTCCAAATATAGGAGGTAAAACCTAAAATTTGGGACTTTTAGCCCGAAACCTTCTTTAACCATGTCGTAGCAAACAAGAGCCACGTGGGGCCTCATTTGAAGCAAATGATGGGTTGTTGCCTACTATCCCAAGTTGCTGGTCACATGTCAAAGCCTAGGCAACTTAAAAATTGCACTTCAATGGCTGCATTTCAAATGGGCTTCTTTCAATATTTTTTTTTTCAAACCTAAAGGCTAGAAATCAACGGCTGATATTAAATTTTGGCTGGATCAACGGGAAAAAAAATAATCCAACAGTTGAAATTTAAATCCAAAGGTAAAAATAAGTAAATATATTATTCTAAGTGGATGCAACCTCAAAACATATCCTAAACTCTATAAATAACCATCAAATTGTTAATAAAATTATGTTTGTGAAATTTCAAAAAATTTATGTCAAAATGTTCAAAAAATAAATCATAGAGTAATATGCAAAAATTAACCACAAAAACAAAATAGGATTATATTATTCTTTAACAATTTAATAAAGTTGCGGACTCGAATTATGAGTCCGCAAGGTTGGATGAAAAAATAGTTTAAGTCCTAAAAATACATGAATAGTTGTATTTTAGAGGGTGAAATTTTGGGTTTGAGTCCTCTAGGGTTGGAGATGGCTTAAGAACACACTGCTTGTGACTTTTTTTTGTCCAAGAAATGAACATGTCATTATCATAGAGAGTTACATAAAAACCCAATACATAAGTCATAAAATAAAAAATAAGGGTTCAACCAAACAAAATAGAGCGTGGGATTGGGAAAACAAGCCACCAACATGCATCATTCTCAAGCAATCCAAGTCAAAATTGACCATTAAACTATAGAGTCCACACCTCTATATCAAGATCTCATATTTGAGGATGGGTTGTAGGGTAGAAAATAGCAGCATCAAACCAGTAGACAACTAAGAAAATTCTAAGAAAGAGGAGGATTTTAGGATTTGAGTTTTCGTGGGAGGGAGATAGAAATGGACTGATGGGGGTAAGTGTATGAGAGGAAAAAAGGGTGAGAGAGGTGTAATGGTTGAAGAGTAATGGTGGAGGAGATGTAGAGGAGATCTGGGCCTACATCTGGAAAATCAAGATTGGAATGGCAAACCAAAACAAATAGAAAAAGGGAGAAAGAAAAGCCACATCGGAGGGTGGCAGAGGTGTTGTCCTAAAGGGCAGCAACACAACCACCAGTTGCTCAGAAGAGGGCGGTGGGGAAGGAGAGAAGTTCTAGAGAGAAGGGGGAGCCTCTCTCTCTAAAGCTCTGTCGGTGGCCAGTTCGGTTTGGTTGTGTGGGATGTTATTATCCATCATTTTTATAGATTGCATTCAAGCTTGGGTTTTTACACTTGTTAGTTTAACGAGTGATGTTCGTGCGTAAATTTTTACACTTGTATCGTATTATTATCCATCATTTTTACAGGTTGCGTTCAAACTTGGGTTTTTCCACTTGTTAGCTTAACGAGTCATGTTTGTGGTTGAATTTTTCCACTCGTTAGAGCATCTCCACCCACAATGGCTAAGTCTAAGGCAAGGGCAAGTAAGGGCTGCCACTATTCACGTAAATAGTGTCAGCCTTTGCATTTGTGGTTCCACCTATGAAGGCAAAGTCTAAGGCAAGTCAAGGGCAAGAAAAATATATATATATATATATGCAACAAAATATAAAATTGTTATGTATTTATAGGGAAAGTGAATAAAATTGTTATGTATTTATAGGGAAAACATCCATAATTTTTTGGTATTTTTTTTTTTTAAATTGAATTTTTTATAATTTTTTTGAATTTTTTTTTGCTCGCAGACGTCAGCATAACACCAGCACTGACGTCAGCGCCCTCGGGCTGAAGCCCAGGCAAAATCTGCCCTTGAGCTTGCCCGGGCTGGTGGGACCTAGAGCTTGCCCGGGCTGCAAGTGGTGCGCTGGAGCTGTATTGGGCTTGCCCGGGGGGCCTTTTACCCAGTTTGATAGCAACGCTGGAGTTGCTCTTAAAGTCAGGTGACACATCATGGAGTAAAAGAAAAATAAATGCCACCGAGCTGAAATTATGAACCACAAAATAATTACAAGACCTGTGAACAGCTTTCATGAAAATTTATTTAAAATATTATTTTTGGATTTTCCTTATCTCTTGGGGTACATGGCCCATCACCATATATACGATACATCACTCTCTGCTCCACTGGTCCACTCTCGTATCTTTTGGTTACTGTAACAATCCCCATCAAACTGACCAAAATGCGCCTCAGCATTCAAGATCTGATGTGTGACAGTTGAAGGTTATTTTGGTGATTATAATATTTTTTATTTTTTTTATGTAATTTTTTTCTGTGCCCTAGCAACCTCCTCCTGCATCTGCACAACGCAACCGTACCCTAGCTAGAGCTAGCCATGCAGAAGTTAAATGCCAACCTTGTCGTTTGTTCCCTAAATTCTAGAATTGGAGACAACAGGCAAAAGGCCTTGTCCAAGTCAGGTTTTCAAGCAACGCCAAACAGATTATAGGTCAATTACAAGGGTCAACTGACGGGCCTATATAAAGAGTATCCGATGCTGTGGGAAATTAATGTTTTCTTTTCTTTTTTGGCTCCCCAAGTGTGACGAGCTAGATTCATAAATACCCTTTCTGCCAAATTTAGCTAGAATAACAAGCTCAATAACACTCTTGAGCTGCAACATTGTATAGGATTTGGTAACACGACATGAGCACACACGAAAAATTGAGTGTTCAAGTCGAACTTTGACGGGCTTTGTTGATAACAAGGAAACCCGTTAAGAAATAGGAAAATTTTGTTTTATTTTATTCATTAAGCTCTTAGTTCTATAATTTGTGTTGAAATTTGAGTAGGAAAAGTTAGTCTCATATTGAAAACTCACAACTTTCCTTCACATCTTTATAATAGTTGAGACCCTAATTAGAATTGGACCTATTGAGTGGGCTTTGTACCAGATACAACTTGTTCTTTAAGGCCATCTCCAAATATAGGAGGTAAAACCTAAAATTTGGGACTTTTAGCCCGAAACCTTCTTTAACCATGTCGTAGCAAACAAGAGCCACGTGGGGCCTCATTTGAAGCAAATGATGGGTTGTTGCCTACTATCCCAAGTTGCTGGTCACATGTCAAAGCCTAGGCAACTTAAAAATTGCACTTCAATGGCTGCATTTCAAATGGGCTTCTTTCAATATTTTTTTTTTCAAACCTAAAGGCTAGAAATCAACGGCTGATATTAAATTTTGGCTGGATCAACGGGAAAAAAAATAATCCAACAGTTGAAATTTAAATCCAAAGGTAAAAATAAGTAAATATATTATTCTAAGTGGATGCAACCTCAAAACATATCCTAAACTCTATAAATAACCATCAAATTGTTAATAAAATTATGTTTGTGAAATTTCAAAAAATTTATGTCAAAATGTTCAAAAAATAAATCATAGAGTAATATGCAAAAATTAACCACAAAAACAAAATAGGATTATATTATTCTTTAACAATTTAATAAAGTTGCGGACTCGAATTATGAGTCCGCAAGGTTGGATGAAAAAATAGTTTAAGTCCTAAAAATACATGAATAGTTGTATTTTAGAGGGTGAAATTTTGGGTTTGAGTCCTCTAGGGTTGGAGATGGCTTAAGAACACACTGCTTGTGACTTTTTTTTGTCCAAGAAATGAACATGTCATTATCATAGAGAGTTACATAAAAACCCAATACATAAGTCATAAAATAAAAAATAAGGGTTCAACCAAAC